GTATGCTTCCGCTTTAATTATTATATTTCTTGATGATTTAACATGAAAGATCCGGTATTTAAAGAATTAAATTATCCAACATTTTCTTCCATCCATCATACTCTATTTTTACCGTAATATTTCTTCCACTCTTGAGATTAATCCCGATATCACTCAGACTTTTTACTGCAACTGGATATTCGATGCTTGTAGTGTCAATTGCAATATGGTTTCCGTCTATTTCCCGTGCATTCTTATATGTGTCTAGCTCCACTGCAAGTTGATGAAGAACACCCCCTGCATATGTGAATTATGAAACTGATATCTTTAAGTAGAATCTGTTGATGGGAAGGATTTCTCTAACAGAGAAACATTGTGATCAAACTTGACAAACAATGAGTTACAAAAAGTTGGGGACTTGGATTCCTTTGAAAGTAGTACTCTGAGAAACACATACTAATGGAAATAACAAACAATGTTTATCAAAAGAGACGGGTACGCAAGTTTCCGGGTAGCAGGGGAGGAAACCATGTAAGTACAAGTATGCAGGTAATAATACCTTCTGTTGATGGATCCAGGATGCCTATGAAAGAGCCATAGCTTTCTGGTGGGGAGGGCTTATTGTTCTGCACAATGATGAATGCAATTCCATCGCCAGACACCGTTGAATCCGTCAAAATCCTCGTAGTGAAGGTGGTGGAAAAAGATGCAGGCCATGCAGTCAGAGGATACCGGTACAAGACTCTTCCCACCTCACTTGTACCATTCTGCACCTGTGGCTCGTCTGGCGTGATGTTTAGAATTCCATTAGCTGCATTTACTGATCCCCAACAAATTAAATTGCTTCCATTTTCGCAACTTTTAGAGTCAAACAATGAGAATGAAAAATTATGTGACTCGACTAAACCATAACTAGTTGGAGCGACGAATAAAATTATTATAACAAGGGTTAACATTTTGAGGATAATATATGGAATGCCTGATCTTGTTTGTCCATAAATAGAGGTAGAAAAGAATCATTTCGACTAATTGAAGATTTCAATGCCATTACCAGATCAGAAACGAGTGGTGAAAGACAAATTTTATTTTCAAGAGAGTAATCTAATCTGAAAACCAAAATTCTCTCATTTGTT